TAAACGTGTAGGTTTGTAAGGCTCTCACAATATGACTGAACGTCTATTACGTCGTATTTTTGTAATAACTTGAATTAAAATGTCTACATATGGTTAAAAGGGTTGCTAGTAAACAGTCGCAGCTGCTACATCCACAGCTAGCTAGGCGAGTTATTCAACCACAGGCCAGCGCTCATTGATTTCCCAGTTGTCAATCATCGCGCCGCCCGTTTGACAGATCGCCAAATGCCCCTGACAGCTGGCCTGAATAGTAAAATATCCGCGTCACAGCCCCACCTGCAAAACAACCTCCACGTCGTAAGAGTTCCCTTTGCTCTTCTGGTGGCCCCTGAACTTGGAGCCGCTGTACAGCAGCGAGGTGACAACACCGGGCTGCTGGGTGTTTATCGGTGGCGGTGGGATAAGCGAGCCCGAGGATGTGAAGGCCGCGGCGGGGGAGTCGCTGAGGTATCCAGCGGGGACAGGCATGGCTCCCGCTTCGCTGGCTGGGCACCGACCGCGGTCAATTGCCGTCTGGGCGAAGGACTCTGTCGGCGTCTCTACGGAGAGGTGGAAGAGCACTGTAGAGATCCACCAACATTCAGATCCCCCCCGATACCTCCACAGTTTCGTTTACCAGGCGCCAAGCTTCCAGAAAAGTAAGTGGACTTCGACGCGGCGTCGTAGGCAGCAGAATCCGCCCTTCTGATTGGTCGGTTTAGTTCACCTTTCGAACATCTTCAACGCTCATTGGTTCAACCTGCGGAAGGCTTTATGGGACTATCTGGGTGTAGTTTGTTCCTGTCGTGTTGGGGCTGGTGTTGGGGTGCGTAGGAGCACTCATAAAACTACATTTCCCAAAAGTTAAAAAGTACCTGTGACGTCACTACAAGCAAAGAAGGTCACACGCGTGCTTTTGAACTCAGGAGCTGCTACCTGAAAGCCGAGGAAGAGCTATGCCGCAGTAAATAGAGACATATCAACTTTATACAATTAGCTAGTACAGTATGAACAACAATTTATGCTAATACGTAATATATTTACTCGCATAAAAATATGGCGTTTAAATAATTAACGAACTGGTGTCAGAAAGAGGTAGCCTAGCCTGTCAGCTAGCATTTCTACCAAACATTACATCTTCACAGCGCTGCAGCTATGTTTAGAAGCCTTGTTAGACTTCAAAGTCAGATTGGGAATATCCTCTCTCCCAGTAAAGTATGCCACAGGAGTCAGCACTTTCCATTTGCTTTGAAATACTCAACAGCTACAGCAGGTAAGATAAATTATCAGTGTGGATAAAACCTCATCCTTTTTGCTGCAGTATTACATTATATAACTTCACCTTGTTGTGCCCGGAGTGTTAACTGATGTGCTGTTTTTTGCTGCTTGTAGAGAGAAAAAGATTTTATCAAGATGTCAGTATATCCCAAGGTGAAGGTAAGTGTCAAATGTCACTAGCAACAGATCTAGTGTTGCAGTTCTGTGATCAGGAATATTCATTTGGAGTGGGAAAATCTGCCCTCCACTGTGGAAGGTGTCTCTTCTAGCTTTCTTTGTTGGTAATAAGGCCACAATTAATGTTTTTGATATGAAGATAACATCAGAAGAAGTTGTGCCTTTTTCATACCAGTGCTGTTTTCTGTTTAATTAATATTTCTAGGTGGTGTATATGAGATAAACCTGGACAGACGGAAACTGAAAACCCCTGGAGGGAAGCTGTTCACAGCACCAAATGAAGCACTGGCCATTGCCGTGGCAACCGAGTGGGATGCTCAGAGGGACACACTCAAGTTCTATACCATGCACCTGGTACGGCTTTTGACCGTTATATTGGAAGGGGTTTAAAGCAGAGTTTCTTACCCTTGTATTCAGAGCCAGTTTAGGGTTGCATGGTTTTAAAACCACTATATTGATATGTTTTTAATGTGTTCGCAATACATTTGGAGCTCCCTCTATGCTGTCAACTATTCCATAAGTGTGCCATGTGCTTATTGACGTGAAATAACAACTTGACAGTCCTTTTTGTGGGAAAGTGGGGAAAACTGAGGACAGAAAACTAGCTGATGGATATATACAAGTATGAGAAGCCCTAACACAGAGATTGACACATGGAGGTTAAAAACTTGCTAGCTGTTGCTTTTGTTTGTTTGTTTTGTTTCAGTTTTTTTTCCTCACCACCAGTAAAGGATGTTAAATTAAAAAATGTATCTGACTGAAAGAGTTATGTTTGTACTCTCTTCCTGCAGACTACACTGTGCAACACAGCTCTGGACAATCCCACCCAGCGTAACAAGGACCAAATGATCAATGCAGCCCTCAAGTTCCTGGAGACTGATACTGTCTGGTATACTACCTATTCACTTATTATTTATTGTTGCTGTGGATAACAGCAGTAACTTATTCAGTGTATTGTACATGCATATATCCACTTAACATAACACCCCTTTCAATTAAAAATCCATGTTTGTATAAGACATAAGAAAATCAACACAATGACAACAACAATAGGATGAAAATCAGTGATTATTTGTCACATAATTTTAGAATTTATTTCTGCAGAAAACATGTATTTGGACAAGCTTATTGATAGAGAGTTTACATGTGATGGTTATTTGCGGACTTTTTTTACATTGTTAAAAGTGAGTTAGTTGAAGGTGTGGCTTTAAATGTTAATTGCGTTTATGTTTTGTGCAGTTACAGAGTAGATGAGCCTCTTGGTTTGGTTGAGCTACAGAAGAATGAGTGGGATCCTGTGCTGCACTGGATTGAAAACAGGTAACTGAAGCATTTGCTTTGGTTACAGTCAAAGCACAATGACTGACATTAAAGCCCCCCAAATGGTGATAGAGCCTGTGTAAATGTAGCTACTATATCAAACTCGTTGCTAATTGTGTTTATCTTCCCACCGCTCAAATACAGATATAATGTCACTATTGGCTCCTCGTCCAGTATTTTGGGTCCTGATATCCCACAGACAACCAAAGACACCTTCCGGCAGCACCTGAACTCTTATAACTTCTGGTCTCTGACAGGTAAAACATCTCCAGACTGATCCAAGATAAGCACTTTTGATATTTGATATGTTTGTTTGGATGTTGTAATAAGATGTAACAACAGTAGGACAGAGCAATACAGTAATATGGTTTCTCTCGCGTAGGGCTCGAATATGTGATCACCCAGCTTAAGTCTGTTGTGCTGTCGATGGGGCTGATTGACAGACATCTGAGTGTGGAACAGGCTGTGCTGCTGTCCAGACTGGAGGAGGAATACCAGGTAGGAGAGTAGCAGAATGTTTTCCATCATCATCTAGCATATCATTATCCTGTGATAACAGTAAACAAATGAGGTCAAGCTTTGTGGCGTCTATCTTGTGACACAGTTTTGATTTGTGTTTATCATAACCACATTTGCCAGATATTGCGGTATGTTTCTTGATAAGGGAATCTGTGCTTCTTCAGTCAAAAGTTTTCTTTGGCTTTACTGAAGAGCGAAGAAAAAACATGTTGGAAGCCTTATTTTCTGTCGCTATGCCCCCACACTGTTATTGCAAGAATTGCTTCTTTTACTCTTGAAAAACAGCACCCTCTTCTGTTTTCATCATATCCTCCATCTAATCTTACCTGGTAGTACACATTGTACAGTGCATTGTAGAAGCTGACCTTGCTCTTTTTAGTCTTAACTTGTTCACAGAACTTTAACAGTTGTACTCAGTTATAGAAATGTTTTTTTAATGTTGTACTGCTGCATGTAGTGCCTTCAGTGTAACAGAAGAAACACACACGCTTATCATTCTGTGTTTACCCCTCTGCCATGTTTTTTCTCTCCTGCGCAGATTCAGCGTTGGGGAAACGTGGAGTGGGCTCATGACTACGACATGTATGAGCTGAGGGCAAGAACTGCTGCCGGAGCTCTTTTTGTTCACCTCTCATCTGAGAGTTCAACTGTAAAACGCAAACTTCTGCAGGACTGAGAAGGACAAGCGCAAACATAAAACTCTCAGTGACCACACATGAAACGTGTGAACACCCCAAACAGCTCAGTTTATCCATGTTTCTACATCCATGCAGACAAACACAACACCTGTTTAATACCATTCAGCAGTGACAGCTGCTTTGTCTGCAATCTGTTATAGAGTCATCTCACCCCAGCTAAAAAACATTGGCTGTCTTTTTTGCAGTGTTTATACGTAGCAGCTGCCAAGTGTGCTACCCCTAACCGAGTTTCCAGTCGGTTCTCAGTCATCCGTGACATTCTGGACACTGCACATGGTTGCAAGAGAATAGTGACTAATGTTGTTGTGTCTGTTCAGTGGTGGAATTCCATGTTTGCTTCCTCTGTGTGCCACATTTGAATACTGCAAAGTGCATATGCTATCCTAACAGCACAGTATCTATACTAATTGTGCTGTGTGTAGTGTTTTGTAAGGGTACAATGCATGAAAAAATATCCATGTGCAGCTGGTGAAACATGCTGCATTCAAATTGTTTTCTGTAATTAAGACTGTCATCATTGAAGTTGTATGTATTTTGGGATTTTTAGTGTGGTAAAAATGGAAGATTGAATGCTGTACACAGAAAGCAGGACCATCTTGACTGCACAGTTACCTACAAAAAGTTTAATTATATTTGAGAACTTGACTGCTTGTATTCAGTAGTAATTTTCATGTACAAAGCTGAAGGTTTAGTTGCTTTTACAGCTGAAATTTAATTAAAAGTGACTCATGTTTGCCTGTGCACTTTCCACCAAGTGCAACCAAAATGTCAAAGTTTTGTGGATTAAAACCCAAACAAGGTAAAACATTTACAGATGTCTGTCCTGATTAAGTACCAGATGTGCATGTTATATGTCAGCTCATATCAGAATGAGTGCTAAAGTCATAAAATACCTATTGAGTTTGTTGATGCAACCTTTGGTGCTTTTTATTTACTATCGCCCCACTCTGATGATGGATGTTCCAGCTGTCCAATCACGTTAAAGGTCAGGATTTCTGGTCCAATTACGTTACTGTGTGGGCGGGACTTCGCAGACGTTTCCTCATGTATCATCATCAGCCCATGGACTGACTTGTTTGTTGTCGAGCAAAGATGGAGTTCCTTTTGGGAAATCCTTACAGTACGCCAGTGGGGCATTGCATTGGTATGTAAGCAGATGTTTAGGAAGCGACATCGCATGGAGATAGATGTTTATGTCTTGAAAATGTTTATATGTTTTGCGGTAGTCATTTTACGGGCTTGCTACCTTTAGCATGCTAACGTCCCTGAATGAGTTTCCTACAGCTGGACCGTTAGCCGCCTAGCTAACTTGTAGTTACGCTAACATCTGTTGTCATTGTGTTATGAATACCGCTAACAAACTAAATGTGTGTTTTCAGTCATTGTCAGTCCATAGGGTAGTGTTAAAAACGTCCACAAATACATTTACATATATTTTATGGGTGTCTAACAGCGAAGCTAGCTAACAGATAAGTTAGCTAGCCGCCAGTCATCGTCTTATAATTGGACTGCTGTGTGTCGGTGTTCTTAGGTTAGTTTCTTTACTAACTGCTGGTGTCTTTCCAGAGAGAGCCACTGATGGCTCCCTGCAAAGTGAAGACTGGACCCTCAACATGGAAATATGTGACATCATCAATGAAACAGAGGATGGGTGAGTGGCCAGTGGAAATCAATGAGTATCCATATCTGTTATTGATTAAACCTCTTATATGCACTGGCTTAATAATGTTCTCCTTGTTCCTTGTTTACATAATGTATTGTTGCAGCACCATACACTATTAGAGTCAGCCTTTTATCTGTGTCATACCAAGAGAGGAAGCCTAGCTCTGGCTGTGTTTTATGCAAGGCCTCATTGCTTATCTCATTCCTCCATTAACCTTGTACTGTATGTGTAAACTGGTGTGCTGCGTCATGGTCTTGTTTGATTAGAGGGTTGTAAACTGCCTTAGGTGGGTCTAGTCTGGTGTGGTTTGCTATATATCAGCAGTCTATAAAAAGAAATCTGACTCTACCTATTTTCTGCTCTCTGGGGAATGTAAGGGGTGTTGTACGCACACTGCTGTGAGGCTGATTCGATCTGTTGGGTAGTGGTCAAAGAATTCAAAAGTTAATTATTACTACCTCAGGGTTGAACAGCCGTGTTGTGTTGAGATTGTGAAAAGTCAAAGAATCATTGACATGTGCCAGTGCCTGGTATTCAGCCTTTTTGCAGTTGTGTTCATCATCCTGTCAATGCCATTCAAAATGCCCTTTAAAGCCCTCGGTCATTAAGTTCTTGGTAATTGTGTTTGTTCTGCTTGGACTGATGTTCCAATCCATTTAAAGGCTGTGGGCATACTATGCTTTGCTATTCTGGTGTGTTTAATGTGTGCTTTTGTCTGTGTGTTTATGTGTGTGTGCAGGCCAAAGGATGCTATTAGAGCAGTGAAGAAGAGGCTGAATGGGAACAGGAACTATAGGGAAGTGATGCTGGCTTTAACGGTGAGTTATAAGAGGGCAATTGGAGGGCAGATACACTGTATTTACACGTTACAGTATTAAAAGCGTTATTCACGTAGTCTAGTTCTCATAATGTGTAAATCAGACAAATAAATCACAGATGAAATGAACTGATACTGTGTGTTTTCTCCCACGTAATGTAATATTTTATAGAGTTTGCATTCACTGAGAATTTGCAATCCAAAATGTTTTGTTTGTTATATGTCTTGGTTGCAAAACTGTTCACATGCCTGTAACAGTATTTAACTCACAGTATGCCAGACATTAGCGTATTCTGACAGCAGATTCTCCTATGCATCCATCAGGTCCTGGAGACGTGTGTGAAGAACTGCGGCCATCGTTTTCATGCTTTGGTCACTAGCAGGGACTTTGTTGATGGCGTGCTCGTTAAAATCATCTCCCCTAAAAACAACCCGCCTACAATCGTTCAAGATAAAGTTCTAGCCCTGATTCAGGTAAGCTAACTTTGTTTGTTTGCACCTTGTGTAGGTTTGTTGCCTTGTGTTCTCATGTCATTTAGCTTAATAGGTTATTCCTATGACATATAGTGAGTCTGTACATCAGTGTGAGAGAAAACTGGTGTTTCTGATTGAGTTTGTGAGTAAGAGGTGAAGCAGGGTTTGCAGCGTAGATGTTTAGTAAGCTGTGCGTAGGTGTGTATCAGTCCAAAAGGTGTCCTGTCATCCCCAGGCAGAGCCTCAGGTAAAGTACAGTGTCTCCTGGGCTTCAGCCAGGAGCAGCTCTAGTTACCTGTCACAGCTCGGGTAACACTGCAAGGCTCATGTGGGCTTCTCTTATTTCCACCAGGGAAACCATGTGGTGTGTGTATGCATACAGTAGCTGTGACGAAGAGGGCCGAATCTAATTGTCTCTTGTTTGTCTCGTCATTAGGAGGGTCAGCTGGGAAAGCGGTGTGGGAAAATTTATCGAAGAGCGCTCCCTTTACACAACAGCAAGAGTATTGTTGACATTTCTTCAGGCAAGATGCAAAATACCCAGTCGGGCAGCAGACTGTGGTTGATTTGCGCAGCTCTCTAGCCACCTGTCTCATCTCTGAGGTGTTAATGTGTGTACCTTGGAGTTGATAAAAGAGGGCGTGTGTGCACAGTTGATAGTCCTTACAACCTTTTTAGCATAAAGTATTTCAAAGTTGATATATTACAGCCAAACCCTCAACAGCCTTGGTCAGAGTATCGGTTTTGCAATCTGCTTTATGTTTTTTTTACAGACTCACTGTGACAAAAATAAGGGAGCTATTGCGAAAATTAGTTTTTTTGATCAAGCTGGCTGGCAGTTTAAAGTGACTGAGTAGAAGACTTTTGGATAAAGAACACCTTCAAAGCCCTTGTGCACTTGTTTTTTTTAAAAATGTGTCATGTGTTTGAGCTCTTGTAATGGCCCAGTTTAGCTTTAACCTGCCCACTGATGACAGAGAGAAGCCAAGAGCTTTGTGGTTTGCTGACTGAATGCATTCAAAGCAGACAAACAGAAATAATCAGAGAACAAGCCTCTTTTACTATTCTGACATCCCTTGCTTTGTTTGCTGTGTCAGCCCTCCCTCTACCCATTGTTTTTTTCTGTTCAGTCTCTCCCTCTGTTTCCTTTTAACTCTTTTCTTACTCTGCCTTCTCCAGGCGTGGGCTGATGCATTCAGGAGTAGTCCAGACCTCACAGGCGTGGTCCAAATCTATGAGGAGCTAAAGAGGAAAGGCATCGAGTTCCCCATGTCAGACCTGGAAACCTTGTCCCCTATACACACACCTCAGCGGGTAGGAGGCATCCTACTAAGCAGCAAAAGGCCCAGTGTCCACCAAAGCATGTTTTTTCCAGCTAAAAAAAACATCAGGCGCTCCTCAGGAAACACCAAGCTGGGAGCGCTTAAGAATGCTTTGGAGGCGTAGCACTTTTCCAGCTTGGTTGCGTCTGGTTGCTATGATATGGAATATCCACGCAAGTAAAATGTCCGGCAAGGTTGAGTACTTCCTCTGGCCCTTGCTCTGGATGACGGAAAGCTGAAGCACGTAGGGAGAGAGGACAGACCCACCAGTTTATGTAGGGTCATGAGGTGAAATATATATTAAAGTGTGTATATATATATATAGTATATTAACATACTTCTCCTCCATTATTGTTGTTGCTCAGCACATGTACACGTAAGATGAGAGTGTTTGTCTTTGCTGTAGGCTATTCGTCTCGCCCCTCCTGCACTGTGATTGGATGGCTGGCTAAAAAGTGACAGTGACAAGCGCAACCCAAAATTAAATATTTTTGAACTCTTGGCGGTCAGGAAAAAAAAAGCCAAACGCACTGTGCTCCAAACAGAATAATGCTCAGTGCCTCGTCATGCTGCTAACGTTTGTAGCACAGTGTAAATATGCAGCAGTCCCATTGCAAAGGATTAAAAGCAAAATATGCCGGCCTCAGGAAAAAAACGCTTTAGTGGACATGACCCCTGACTGTCTACAGACGTTTCTGTGTAAAGACCAAGCATAGTGTGATCATCTTCCCAGATAATTTGTAACATAGTGCTGTGTTTATCTCTCTGTTACCTCTAGTTGGCATCTGCTCCAGAGGGTGACTCCACCCTACATAAGTTCAGCACCACTACTCAGCCCACACCACAGGCTGTCCCACCAGCCTACACCAGCCCTCAGGTCCCCAACATTCATGCCTCTGGATCCATCAATCCTACACCTGAACAGGTACATATCAGCAGTACATAGAGGATGGACTCCTACATGTTCAGGTTTCTTCCTTGGTGCCATGCAAATCGAAACGTTATTGAAACGATTTTGACCTGTACTTCAGCCGGCCACCAGGGTGCGATTGAGATGTTTGGACTTCATTTTTGGGGAGTTGTCATGTCATCCATCTTTTTAATACAGTCTGTGACTTCAACAGTTTATCATTTACGTATAGCTGATTTTTTAAAAACTGTTTATCCATTACTTTTAGCTATTATTTCAAGCATTTGTTAATTACTTTTAGCTAATGATTTTTAACTGTTTATGCATTACATAAAGCTAATGATTTCACATTTTCTGCTCATTTGTTAACTAATGTCAGACTTCATGCACTCTCAATTGCTAGATGTGGGATTACGTGCATGTATTTTGTTATAAAGTTAAAGTTAAGTTAAAGTCCCACTGATTGTCACACACCTGAGTGTGCATTTGACCCATCCCCTGAGGGAGCGGTGAGCAGCAGCGGTGCCGCACTTGGGAATCATGTGGTGATCTAACCTCCCAATTCCAACCCCTGATGCTGAGTGCCAAGCAGGTGATAGTAGACTAATTGTCGATTAATTTAACTCTGTGACACCCAGATTTGCCGGCTGCGCAGCGAGTTGGACATTGTTCGTGGAAACACTAAAGTGATGTCAGAGATGTTGACTGAGATGGTCCCGGGACAGGAGGACGCCTCAGACTATGAGTTATTACAGGCAAGGAACCAGTTTTGTGTTTTTTGTATGTTTTTCTGCCTGTCAGTGTGTGTGTGTTGTATTCTTTCTAAATTGTGTGTGAATGATCGAATGAAAGAAGTAGTATTTTTTTAGTTTATAAAGACGTATAAAGCATTAAGAAAACAGTAACACAGGACCACTGTGCATACATGTGTATGTAATGTTAATATATACTTATGCATGTGTGAGTTTAGGAGCTGAACAGGACTTGTAGAGCCATGCAGCAGAGGATAGTAGAGCTCATCTCCTGTGTTTCCAATGAGTCAGTGACCGAGGAACTGCTGCATGTCAACGATGACCTCAATAACATTTTCCTACGCTATGAAAGGTTAGATCACACACAGTAAAAACGTATGCACATCCAAACTCATCTTTACCCTGACATTATTGTATGTTTGCACAGATTTGGTTAGGTAAACTTCGAACGAGTTCTTTGTCACTTCTTTCATGTCGTCCTCTCTGTGCCTCAGGTATGAGAGGTTTAGGTCTGGGAGGTCCTCAGCTCAGAGTGTCAACAATGGGGTGAGTCAGCTGCTCGGTGGTTTATCACCAAATGTTTGCATCACACTTAAAGATAGTTGGCTTACCTGTCTGAATCCCCTGAGCTAGCTCTTTCATGTCATGGTGTTTATTTTCTGCTCATATTTTCTCACACTCTTGCGAGGGCGCTTTTCAGTGTCAGCAGTGTGGACTTGCATGCTATATTATCAGTCAGGCTTTACGATGTCTTCCAAGTGCTGTTATCTGTCATTTACCTATCAGTGATTTACCAGATGTACGTGCCTAATTAAATGGAAACCCAACAAAGACACAAATACATTTACTTGCATTATTAAATGCAATGCAATATCTGTATTTACATTTTTGTTATTCATTTGAAACATTCTGTCTTCCATTGTTTTTCTGCAATACAGTACAGTTGGAGCAGGCCTGTTGAGTTTTAGTCCTGTCCAGTAGGGGGAAACATTGACTGTGATAATACAGTAGTCAATGCAAAGCAAAGTCATTGCATTTGGGGAAACACTGGAAATGAGCTGATTGTATTTAGCGATTCACTTGTGCCCATGCCAGAATTGAACACAATCAACAGTCCAGTCACAGCGTTGCAGCGGTGGTATATGCCAAGACCTGAATGCATTGTTGCACGCAGTGTCGAGTAGATGTCATTGTTTTATTTCACCACTGTTTGTCTGTTTTTACTTTTATCTGTCTAATACATTTCTGCCCTTTTTCAAATCTGTCTGCCAAAAAAGAGCTAACATGTCCAAATTTTATGAAGCAATACATCAGTTTACTGCCACTCCCTTAACAGATCCATGTACTGTGTATCACATTTCTGCAACTGCTCACAGTAGATGTCTCTCTTGCTTCATGCCTTTTGTGAGCTTCCTGTTGTTTCCATCAAATACTGATTCATGTTTTTTCTAGTTACACGCCAAAATCTAGGCGCACCAAAACCATTGCCAGGAATCTGACAAAAAGCACGAGGCAAAGATACTCTGTCGGAACATACGTGCCTCTCCATTGGGTTTCCAGTTCATCAGGCATGCTATATCTTCCATAGTTACCATGCCATTACATTGTGTCCCTGCACTGGCATGTTAATGGTATTCACTGTCTCTTCCTTTCTGTTCTTTTCTGTTCTTCTGTTTCTGTGGCTAGCTGAGACAGGCAAGTATGAAAATATTGTCAACCTTCCTAAGTGGCCAGTGTCACCCCACAGCGACTGTTGAAACATGGCTAAATAATATGGGCCTTGCCTCCACCTGTATCTGTCACCCCCATATGGCATGTTTTCACTATGCAGCCCCCAACAGCCAATGATAAGACGAACCTGAAAGTAGACTGACAGTGACACAGGATTTAAGACGGCACTAAAATGAAAATGTCCCTAGAATCACTGTCATGTTGTGTTTGCATCGTCTCAAACAAAACGGTCTTAATATATTAACTCCTCCAGAGCCCAAAGATTGAATCTTCCCTTCTCCCTCCCTGTATTTCTACCTTCTTAAGGGGATTGATTTGTATTTATGGATAACAGCACTTTTATAGTTATTGAAAACACTGTCAGAAATTTGTTGACAACAAATTAAAAACTTAAATATGTTTCTAATGTCAAACAATATTCTCTGGACCCCCTTAAGAAATACTTTTTTCAGAAAAAATCTTAATTTCCTGCTATCCTCAGTTACAGACATTTTCATGCTCTCCTGAAGCTAACCAACATGTTTTCCAAAATTGTACTTATTTTTATCATCCACCAAGCCCTCATTGTTATTATATTTATTTATTTATGGACCACACATATTTCTTTATGTTATTTTTTTTTCTAGACACAGTCAAGGAACTCCTGTATAACCCTGCCTTTGTTTTAGCCTTCCACACAAGGATTTGTTTTGCTGCTCATGAGCCAGAAAACTTAAATCCCTCTCTCAGCTTCAACATTAAACAAGAACTATAGTGTCTCTCATCAACTCTTTTTCAACAGGTCCTGAGTGAGGCCACAGAGGACAACCTCATAGACCTCGGCCCAGGCTCCCCAGCGGTGGTCAGCAACATGCCAAACGCAGCCCCAACCAGCTTGCCTCCCACCATCACAGCCCCAGCAGGAAGGCCCTCCTCCCCGGCCACCTTGGCATCCCGCTTGGCTGGCCTTGGTATGTACACCTTACCTCAGACTTTAGCCAAGCACTTACAAAACAGATAACTGTTAATCTACTGGTACTGCAAATGTCTGAAATTACAGTTTTCGAAAAATTATACTTGAAATACTAATACTAATATTGTATGTTTTCTAACAAATGCAGTAGAGTTGGTTGTTTCTGAACATATTTCATTGATTTGACTGAATCACACAAACATGAGTTTCTTTGCTAAATTAGCCTGCTGGCTAGTCAGGTATGTATTAAAAGAGCCAAACTGGGTTTCGTCATGCTAGAACAGTTTTGAAAGAGAGAGATTACACCCAAAGATAAGTCAGTTTAAAAGGTAGAATTGTTGACATTTACTTACATTACTGAATTAAAGGAACAGTTGAACATTTTAGGAACTACACATATTTCTCTTTCTTGAAGAGAATTAAGCTAAGTTCACACCACAAGAATTTCAAAGTTGTCAGATCGCTGTACTGTTGATACTACACAACCTACTGTCTCGTAATCAGGGGTCTTGAAGTCATTGTGGTTTTCACACTACATGACTACATGGCCGGGAACAGGGTCACACACGGTACAGGACCTTTCACCAAGAGTATATCCATGTGATGTGTGAGTCAACCCCAAACCCAGAGTCGAGAAGATAAAGAAAAGTAAAAAAGTGACAAAGCAGCATTTAGAAACATTGTGTGCAATAGTCCACCTTCCACCTTTACTTCCCCTCTTCCCCAGAGCTCAAGCTCTGATTTGTTACTGCTGAGCCAATGGTTATTAGCCTCTGATCTGGGACTTTTGCCGGGGAGCTCCAAAAGCTGTTGGCAAGTGGAATATCAGGTCTAAAGTTGTGTAGTGTGAACTGGGCATAAGATGATCAATTAAACTCATGTTTTTGTGTTAACAACAGAGCCAAAGTTGAGAGTCTGTTAGATTAGCTGAGCATAAAGCCTGGAATTAGGGTGGAAAGGCTAGTCTGGGTGTGTCCAAAGTGCAAAGCTGTGCCTAGTCCTGGTGTCATGGTGAGGTTCCTGGGCAACCAGCAGAGATATCAGAAAGCTGCTGCTTCACCTTGCCAAGAAATAGTTCCTGCTCTTATCTCCCTGTAAAATCACATTAATAGATTACAAAATGCAACCTGGTAATTGCTAAGCTTTAGAGGTGTTAGTTGCCATACTTTTTAAACTTTGCACAGAGTCTGGCTAGTTGTTTTCCCTTTGCTTTCAGTCTTTATGTTAAGCTAAAGAACTCCAGCTCTAGCTCCATAGTTAGTGCACATATATCAGAGTGGCACTAAGCTTTATGGCAAGAAAGTGAACCAATGTAATTTTGTAAAAAGTTGAAATATTTCTTTCATCACTGCCTCGTGCATCACTACAAATTGTTGTAGACTTACAGTAAATTAGCTGATTCTGCATTTAATCTTTATTTCGCAGCAGCAGTCGTTGCTAGAGGAAGCCTCTGCAGAAAATATTTTAAAGACAGTCATGATTCTATTGGCTTTGTAGTTTTTGTTGTGGAATTCTGTTTTATGCTGTAGACAGTCAAGTGTATTTTTTTACCTCCAGACATTGGCGCTGACAGTGTGAGCAGCACCTTGAGCTCTCTGCCTACCTGTAAACCTGCTCCTGGCCAGGACGACTTTGATGTGTTTGCTCAGACCAGGACTGGAGCACTGCCTGAACCACGCAAGACGTAAGAATGCCTAAGAAATTTATGGTTGATTCAGTTCTACATTTTTTTATGTATTCTGGTTTTAGATGCTGAGTGTTAATTAAGTTTGTTGTTGCAGATCCCACGGTGATTTTGAGAACACTTAATTGATTGTCAGAATTGTTGCAAATTAATTTTCTGTTGATTATTATTAATCAATTAATCATTTCAGCTCGAGTCATATTTTTAATTACAAACAATTAGGCAAAACAAGATTCTAAAAGCCCATTTCCACCTCTTGTCTCAGCACTACAGCAGAAGGCAGCAATGCCTCCGACGGCCATCCTCCCACTCTGGATGTCCAACAGCCGACTGCAGGAGTGGTGAGTCTCAGTGACACACAGGCTTTTATGTGCAGTGTGGGCTTTAATTTTCAGTCAGTGTTCTCATCACCAGTCAAAAAACATTCGGACTGTGTGTTTGTATGTGCGCCTTGTAGCCGTAGCAGACGTTAGCCTCATGCTTTAACTTGTGCTGCTGGATGCTACTAATTGCTCAGTTAGTTCACAAATAAAGAAAAGTTTAAAAAAAATTTAGTTTTCGGATTTTTGTATGTCTAACCGAGCCTGCAGTTTTAACAGCAGTATCTAGATTATACAGGCTTCACTTCCTGTTGTTTCTTTTTTTGTTTGTTTGTACTGCATGGCTCTTAATAAGTCTCCAGTGGGTTTAATTTATTAAGCATCTTAAGTGCTACCCATTCACAGCTGTTGTCTGTCATCCATTACTAACAAGACTGACAAAAATTTTGTCTTATCTCCAGTTGTAGTGTGTGCAGCATTGTTTAATGCTTTTATGTCCAAGTGAATGACTAATGCTTTAGAGTCTGACAACTCCACCCAAACCTGCTTGGTGTGCACTGTGGGTTGTTGTTTGTGTAAAGTGGTAAAATTAAATGATAAACCTCGTGGTCACAGCCTAAAACGACCAGCTGTGCCGTCAGATATGCTGCTTTTTTCATCTTCACCAGCTTGTCGTGTCTTGTGCTCAGGGTTTTGTTATGTGAAAGTGGATTCTCTTGCACTTCAGCATGACTCCTTGTCATCATCACTGTGTGTGATGTGTCGCACCATCCACAAACATTTATCTCCATTCCATTTCTTTATTTTTTTTCCTCACAAAGTGCTTAAGTTGAATTTAAGTTAACACTGAAGTTCATTTAAGTCATATTTTCTGTTGTGTTTGGGGTGGGATTTTTTTTTTTCTGTTGTGGCATTGCTGCCTCCCCTGGCCACCTGTGTCGGTCTTGATGCTGCCCCGTAGGGTGTCGGAGGCCAGTCCTCTGTTATGGATGACATAGAGGAGTGGCTGTGTACCGATGTGGTGAGCCCATCATGATTTTTATTTCTGCCTGCAGTTCTCTCTCCCTCTCTCTTTCCTTTTTACACTCTGTGTTACTCCCTTATCCCATTTTCAAGGTCTTTTTAATGCCACAAAGTAACACATTTCTCTTACATTACTTTTCCTCACTTTCTTACCAATCACACGTTAATATCCTATTTCACTTTAAGTTACTAACGGTGTGTTGTGGGGACAAACTGACATGACAGAGTTGTGTAAAGTGAGCATGAGGTTTTCAATGCAGATAGGCGTCATTGGTACAGCATGACATCTTGCTTTCCCACCACTGATGGACACATGATGAAAGTGTCTATGACGTGGTTATAGTCTGACAAACACATCTCAGTGGACATTCTTGATTGTGAATGTGTTCATCCGGTTTCAGCTCTGACAACAAGGGACAAAGTTTCTTCTACTGTGTAAGATTTTTAGTTGTAGCTGTGCATTTGTGTAACTTTGATCAAATCAAAGTTTTTGTTGCCTCAACCTAATCTTAACAAAAATGTGCGACTCGCTTAACCTTATCGAACCTTTTGATGGGACAAGAGGGAAGAAAGCATAGACTGTATAAAAGAAGTGGGTGTAGCCACTTTGACATCACGGTTGGGTTTGCAGATTTACGTTTTGAAGCCCCAAGTTTGAGATTTTAGCCATCGCCATCTTGGATTTTTTGGAGCTAAAAGTGACCATACCCAAATGAGAGGGTGGAGCTGGGGAGGATACGCATTGCTATGCCTCTTTCTTGATTGACAGGTTGCTGTGGTAGCGACTTGTCAATCAGTCAGACCATAAGTGGGAACACAATTTACAAAATGAACATCATGCTATATTGAATAGGACTTGAAACCTGTGATTTTGACTAGACACTCATTAGGAAAATGTTTCCTGAGGTAATAAAGTAAGTGAGACGTATGGCTATTTTCCCATAGACTTCTTTTTGCAGCCAGTGGAGTCGTCACCTGCTGGCAATTTGAAAGAATGCAGGTGAAAGGCACTAGCCACATTAGCACTTTTCACACAGAGGTTGCGCTATAGGGCAGCTACAAGTCCCTTCTTTATGCTGCCTTTGCACTTTTACACAGAACCAAACACAGCGGCATCATTATGCTTCAGTGTGTGATTATAGACAGCATGCTGGCATCGTGGAATCAAAAGAGACGTCACAGGCATGTAACACAGTGTCTTGTGTGACATAAAGCAAATGATTTGGTAGCACATTATAAACAATTCAATGGCATTAACATTCTTGTTATATGGCGACTGATCTCGTCCTCTGTTTGGAGGGAAAGGAGCTCCCAATTCTCATCGTTTTCCCAATTTGCACACAATTACGGCTGCTGTTCTTCTTCTCTGAGTTAGCCGCTAACTGCTAACAGCTACTTTTAAAATCTCCCATGGGGGGTGGCATGCATAACACATCATTAAAATGTCACATCATCCTGCCCATGGTCCCATCCTACCAGCTGTCCTTTTAATTTAGTCACCATTTCGGCACTGTTACTACCTCCTGTGGTGGCTTAAATGTGAGACCACTCCATCCCCCAATTCTGCAGTTGTACCTTATGTACAGCACGGGGAGGAGGCATACCGGCACGATATCCCATTCATAAGCAGGCAGTGTGAAAGGGACTATTGGTTTTACTTTTCAGACCCAGAGGCTACGTCCACGTCTTTGACGCAGTCTATAGAAGAAAGGCACATATGTAATTTTGTTTTTGTGGTGCAGAATGAATGATAAAGTATTACAAAAGGTCATGCTCATTTTACACACATTTATGAGATTGTTTTGGATTATGGGGTGATAATAACTAGCTGTTTTAGGTGGAAAACAAATGGTGGAAATTTTGGTATTCATTGTATTTTCTATAAACGGGCATAAATGGAAAATGTATTGCAATTATTTTGACACTTTTGGGTGAGAGGATGAGAGGTAAGTGGCTCCTTGTTATGTTATAAACCTGTTGAGTGAGTGTGTAAAGAAACACTTCAATACATGATTTGTGGTGATTTGGGGCGCATGCATAGGATCAGAACTTTACCTGGTTTGCAGCATGTGTGTGGGAACATATTTTTGCTGACGGGTGCTGCGCAGTACAAATGTGGGTGCATGACTATGTATGTGAATGCGCTTACACAGGAGCTACAGGAAAACTGCTCAGACGTAGTTACATGCTGGTTCCATTAGCTGTTAGTCCAAAAGTGCCAAATTTTCTTATATTTTATTTTGAGTGGTGTTGAACTATCTAGTTTGCTCTTTGGTGAAGCCACTCCTGTGCCCTGCGCAAATCAAACATCCATTCATCATCTGCTCCATCATTAGCTTCAACAGAACTCCATTCCAATGGTACCATGCCTTGAAAGCAGCCAAAGCTGTCCTGGCAATTTTCTGGTCTTTCTCAGTCTGTTCAGCCTGTCTGCATCATTCATTAGATCCCACTACAGCAAATCTCTCACCAAGTTTTGCTGACCTGGCCCCTGCACTTTGACCTACATCACATCGGAGGAATAAGTTAAAATCGCACATTTTCAACGTTGTTTTTTCATATGTTGTCTGACAGAAACCTTACTGTTTGCTGTTCAAAATTTAAACAAATGTTCAAGTAGCCCGTTAGTTATGGTAAAATAGCTAAATATTTACAGTCTGTGTGGCTCCACCTATTGTCAATAACTTGTGCTGCAGCACCCTCAGCACCCACCGTCCCACGCCCATGGTTTGCAGTGGTTTGCAGTGGATTAGGTCTAGCACAGTCAACTCCCAGGTGTGACATTGTTCTTTTTCTTTTTCACCAGAAAGGAGATGAAGGTGAAGAAGGCGTGACAAGTGAGGGTAGGACATCATTAATCTCCTTTGTTCTAATTTTTGCTTCAGTAGATATCCTCTTTTGTTACCAGCTACATTTGAATCTCATCACATTCTTCTCCTTTTTGTTTTCTCCCTCGATCCAATGCTGCCAGAGTTCGACAAGTTCCTCGAGGAGAGAGCCAAAGCTGCAGAGATGGTCCCCAGCCTACCGTCGCCCCCGAGCGGCGAGCCGGGAGCGGTGCCGGGAACCCCCAGCCGCAAGAAGCCAGACAGGCCGGAGGACACTTTGTTCGCCGTGTAGACCTTCCACCTTTTTCCTCTGACCCCCAGCTTAAGACCCCGACCAGCCAAGCAGCATCACCTGCGAACAGACTGACCTGACACTAAAACACGCCCACCTCCGCTCTGATTCAACACTGTTCACACTACAGAGATTTGTACATGCTCTCCTTATAAAAAAGGGAATTATTCATGTTCTCCGTTAATTTCTCACAAGAAAGGGAAAACCAAACGAACGGCCTATTTTTGATATGCCACCAGACGATGGATCTCACCCACATCATGCCTGGTGTCAGAGACTATGAGGCAGCCTGCTTTTTCCTTCCTCTTAATGTGTGAAGAATCTCCCTCCGCCTGTTATGGACTGCAGAGCTTCATGTTGCAGCTAATCCTAAAATAGAGTTTTATAAAAGAGAGTCCTGCTGTGCTTGTCATTAGTAGGAAATCAATTTCTTACCCAAAGCCCTAAAAGCATGCATTAACACCAAACATGATCAGTTACGTTTTTATAATTAAAGAGCCCCAGCAGAAACACTATGGTTGTGATTACAGAAACGCCCGTTGCAGGCAGCACTGAGCAGACCTACGACGATATTGTTTTGGTGTTTGTATCAGTCCCTTTGCAAGTCAGTGCGAGTTGAACTGTAAATTTGTAAATGACAAATGTCGAGTTTATTAGTCGTGTGTATATTTAAGCTACAGATGTATGAAAGAGATGTTGATTTAATGTAGATTTTTTTGACAAGGGTTTATCTTCCAGCTGCTCTGACGAAAAGGGATGTACCTCACCGGGGTCATCTTTTTGACAAGAAAAGGGAATGGTATACATCTGATAATCTACAGAAACTATAATGTAACAGGAAGAAAGAGAAGAAGAGGGGAATGTAGTTTTTGTGATTGGCACAATTGCGCACCACACCAACAAATGTGTCCTTTTTATCGTCCACTTATGCTGCGTTCACATGGAATCAGGCAGACAGTAGACAGCACACCGGATACTGTGTTTAGTGGATGAGAACAGGCAGAGAATTGTGGGTAACAGTCAGTGGCAGAGTCAAAATATTTTAACTGTTTGACGTCCTCCACAACAGAACTTGCTGAATTTTATGTAGCTCCCTCACACGGGGAGAAAACACAGGCAATCTTGACAATTAGTGGACATTACTAGAATAATTATATAAGATAATAAACACCGGGCTCCTAGTCATAAAATTCCTGGAAAATTTATGAAATTAAAAAAGTTTTTTTTTTTGGGCTATTATTTAGAATATGTTCATAAAAATACCAAAACATTTCTCACATTTCACAAAATATGTTCCTTTTCTTACTAATTTAAAATCTAGTGTTGAAACGATTGAAGGGACATGATGGCAATCAACATTATTTCATTGAGTTACCACATATGCTGTGCTTCAGGCAAGGTTGCAAAACCATGTCCAGACATGCCCGTAAAACAAATGTTAATTTAACAAGAAATTAATTCAGTGTAAGTTTTCAAAATTATGATCTAAACACATGTTAAAATGTATTGACTTTCCCCAAAAAGGGGCGCAGCCTTGACGTTTTGCTAAGTACCCGTATGTGCCGATGTGGTTTGTTGGCGTATGCATCCAGTAGTTTAACTTGCGAGTAAAGTTAGCATAAATGCTAGCAGAATGCTAATGTGCAAAGCCTGGGAAGTGCGTGGTTAATAATGTGTGGCTGAACTGCTATAGAGGCTCACTTATTTTAAACTACTTAAGTAAAGTTATGGAAATGGGTTAAAATATTATGTAAAAGTTATGGAAAACTTTTGAAAAGTCGTGTAAAAATGTGAGGGAACCCTGGAAACATGAAACAATTTTAGATTTTCTTCCGTTCACAGTTGGAATATGTTTTACAGACTGTTCTGTTTGTTGTCCCTGTGCCGTCCAGAAGGTGTTGTCCGTCTGCCTGATTGCGTGTGAACGCAGCATTAGTCACACGTACACTTCTCTTTGACAAATGTAACCGCAGTTGTTGGTATTGAGATTATATTACTGAGATTTTATTTGCCTAAAGCTGCTGTCAGAATTTTCGCAGGTCGTTAAATCCCATCTGCTGAAGAGCTAATTATTCTCATTCATGTAAACATCTTTGTACTCACTGGGAGTGGTTAATGTTACTTTGAGCAGAGTCCCAGTCACAGTTGGTCTTACTGGTAGCTGATGAGACACATGCTGGTGAGGTTTTACTCATTGACTGTTGGTTTTAACTTTTTTTTTTTTTTTTTTTTTGTGAGTAGATTGTGCTGTATGATTTCTGTTTTGAAAAGCTGAGTTTAGAGGACCAAACTTGCGCTCTCTTCTGGCTGTAGTATTTGGGTTGTCCTCACATAATCCGGTCCTTTAGTTGTCTCAGAATCCACAGCTTAATATCCAGGGATGTAATGAGAATCTAATATCACACTACAAAAAGCTGTTTGCACATTATTATTATTTTGTCGTGCATTCTCTCCGTTATTTCCTTATGCTGACATCTTAAAAGGCTCTGACCTTTTCCGACATGACATTTGTTTTCAGAAATGAGCCGGGTGCAGACAGAGTGCTACAAATGAGACGTTTTTTTTTTCCTCCCTCTTCTGACAATAATAAATGCAACATGTTACACAATCACGACAAGCTTAAAACAAGCGTGCACTTTGACAGTCGCGTTACCTTTCAACCTCTTACTGTAAATTAACACGTAACCAGATGTAATTAATGAGAGTTGTTTGGGGAATATTTGAGCAGAGGTGTAGAGATAATTTATTCAGCACTATTTTTTGTCTTCAGATCAGTATTTTAAATCATTTTATTGTACAAAAAAATGTTAGGGGACAGAATGAGGGATTGGTTTGAGTGTTTTTGTTAATGGAGTTCAGATTTTCCTTTTTATACATTGCTGCTGGCTAATGTATCTTGTGTGTCATTGTTAGTTTATTGGTTCTGTGGATATTCTTGTTGGTTCAATGTGTCCATACGGTAACAAAAAAGAATATGGACATAGTTAATAAGGGCAGTCCATAGCTGTATGAGAATCACACCAGTTCTATTTATCTCATAAAGGATACATATTTTTATTAGCTTCACTCTGACTGACAAAACAGACATGATTAACTTACTTTGGACACTTTCGACAAAGCATCAACATTGCACATTTCTGAAAGGGAAACCTCCTTTCTTTGTTTTAGTGTTCAGTGTGTGTGTGTGTCATCTGTTCTGTAACGCAGAACGCAACGTTTTATCTCAGTTGAAAAAAAAAAGAAGCCTCCAAATGTGTGTTTTAAAGAATACATGTTGTTACTATCCCGTTTGATACCGCCCAGGATCAACCTGGTTTATATCAGTGTGAGCTCTGTCAGTGATTTGTAACCGAATCTCAGCATACCTACAGTGAGACTTCACCGGAGTCATCTCAGACCTGTTTTGCAGAGGAACAATCCGTTTCTTTGTGCGTCGCTGGATAATATGAAAAGAGATGCTGATAAGGGAGGCTGTGCTGTGTGACTGCTACTTTCCTGAGTTGCCTCATCTCTCATTTCTCTTTGTGTTGTTTGACTTATGCATGAACTCTAATAAAACATTAGCAGTGTGTCCACATCCTTGTCGTTATTTTGTCAAGAGTTCCTACAGTTATTCTCTGCCACCACCAGCACCACTCCACTCCAGCCCTCTCCTTGGCATACCACTCTCCGCCTGGCTCCCTCTTCAGATGGTAATAGCTGGAGCTGACCTGCAGTAAACCCTCTCCGGAGGCCCATGGGCCCCACACCAGGGGCTTCCCCATTGGTCGTCTGGAATCGCCTCATCCCACAACATGGCCCCTCACATTCAGCCTCAGTCGCTGGAGCGTTTTCCCGGTCAAAAAGAAAAAGAGGGGCGTGTGTTGGACAGTAGACTGGAATACACCAGCGTACAGGAGCCCTGTTTGACTCAACATGTGCTGTTTTTAAATGAGACCTCACCGTCTCTTTAAAGTCGTGTTGCACTAAAGAGCTGGTGGATTTCTCTTGAAGAGGTAAATGGATGCTTTTATATATTTAAGGTATTAATTGAAGGAAAAATCTTTAAAAATTTTAGAAGTGTGTTCTGTTTTTTTAGGATAAAAATATATTCAAACGTGATTTGGAGAACAAATCTTGTTCTACTTGTACAGTAGCTGAGGCACCATGTGCTGCTTGTTAGTGTAAGCTTGTGTTTGTGTGTGTGTGTGTGTGTGTGAGAGAACGTGCTCCCAGAACTGCTGCAAGACACGTGTTGATAGTTAAACAGTCATCTGGACAAAAATCCAAAAACGAGTTCTAAAAATCAAGTTTCTGCATGCTCTCCCACTAAAAAAAAAGATTGATTAAACATGTCAGAGGTCATATTTTGGTAAGCATTGCTTAAACACTAATATTAATGCGTTTGCTGCAGAGACCTGAGCGTGTGGAGCAGTTGGACTCGCAAGAATCGGTTCACCACAGAGCAGAAATCCAGAGGATCCATGTTTTCTCAGGCTCTACTCCCAAGACTCTACCTCCACCTTATTGTCTATGATTCCCCTCTCCACAAGCAGCTAGCACACCCTGGTGGTTGGGCCACGGAGCATGATCACCTACATGTCAGAGGTCGAATTAAGTGGAGAAGGATCTGGGATGATGATTGTTGTGCTACAACTGGAACCATCAATGAACCTGGATAAACAGTTGCATCTTAAAGTTGCTTCGATTACTAAAACCACTGCATCTGCCAACTGTACCAAGTGAGAGTGGAACGCTGTCCAGAGCTGTGGTGCATTGTAGTTGCATTGCATGTAATGCTGACGAAGTGCAATGGATCTGCTTTGCAACACAGAACTTGGTCACACAGCAACTCAACCATGAGCACCAACGAATTTGATCAAAGCATAATCCATTATTGTACAACTGACATTCGTCACTTGATATAAGAAATCATTAAAATTAGAAATTCAATTGCAATTTGAAGCAATAAATGATAATACAAGATAATTTTGGGCACTGTTAACGGTTTTAATTAGTTGAAAATGGAGAAGTGTGTGATGGCATTCAAAAAAAGAAAGTGGCATTTGGTTGGTGCCTGGGAACCTCTATAATTCGTATAGTTTATAAACATACAGATCATTTAAAAGTGTTTGAATTCTTTGGAGCTTCTTCGTCTGGTTTAAAATATTCTGATATGTTTCACACCTGTAACCAGAATGCATTTTGTTTTACACTGTAAGGGAGTTCAGTGGCATGTTTTTTCCGGTTTGATGCTGTCACAGTCTGTTGTTTTCTAGCACTGTCTACTGTATATCTTGTACCATTTTCACTGGTGGAAAGTAACTAAATACAGCTACTCGAGTACTGTACTGAAAGGAATACTTCCGCTAATCCAGTAATCACCTTGAATTAGTGAAGTTTTTTTCTCTCTCATGCCTCCATGAAAAATGGTGAACATATTGATTTATTGATTGAGTGGGGACCATGCTTAACAACAGCAAAGCTATATCATAACGTCCGTTTGCAAACTCTCACATCATGCAGTTGTGCTTGTCTTGGGGAAGTACTGAGCATATGACTGGATAAATGAGACTTGTTGAGGATTATACTGCACGAGTTGCGTGAGACATGGAAAACTGACTTCATGATATAGTTTTGCTGTTGTTAAATGTGGTCCCCAATCAATCAATAAACCATTATGTACGCCATTTTCCATGGAGGCATGCGAGAAATACAAAAGAACTTTTCTTCAAAAACGTAAGTTAACAAAGCACGACTAACTGATTTACAAATGGTCATTTTGCGGGTGAACAATTCCTTTAAAAACATTTTTTTGTATTTCCATTTTCTGTAACTTTACACTTCTGCTCCACTACAGAGGAAATTATTGTACTTTTGACTTACATTTATTTGCTAACTTTATTTACTCGTTATTTGCAGATTCATGTTGATAATACAAAAAACATTTATTATTGCTGTTGTTATAATTATGAAGTAATATTAATATTAATATTATTATGTACTAATTTCCAGGGGTAAACTCACAAGCTACTCAGCAGTATATATAATATTAACAGCTTATCTTCACCAACTGTTGATGAACACACAAATGCATCAATAATTATAATATGATTATATATTATACATGGTTTTGAAATGGACCATTCTGCATAATGGGCCGGGGTGTAAATATAAACAGCGCAGGCAGTGTGGTTGCACTGGGACCCATGAGGTGGGGAGCCCATAGAGAGAGTGGGCCCTCTAACAATGTGTTGGGTGGAGAATGGGCCCTTATGAGTGATTGCCACCTTGGAAATATGCCTGTTTTCAAATAAGTACTCTCATTAAAACTGATGACATTACGCATTATGATTGGCTTTATGGCAGTCACAAATCCTGATTGGTTGTAGCCATGGTTGTGGCTGGAAGTTTCAGGAAATGGTTGTAACGTTAGAGAGTTTGAGGAGAGAAATAAAAATAATAAATCGAAAGTTTTCTCTTCAGCTGGATGCTGAATGAAGTATTAAAACATCAACCTGACAAGCGGCTCGGTTCGGATTAGCCTTCTTACGAGATCGGCTCCGTTCGGATTAGCCTTCTTTTAAGTTAGCATTAAGCTAACAGCTAGCGGCTAATAATAAAATGGCTAAAAAGAAGAGAAATGCATAAGAAACATAAGAAATTACTGTTAGATCGGCTCAGGGTCGGAGGGCGTCTCACAAATCAATGTTCAATGTTTCACAAATATGTGAACATATTTGACAGCATAACAGCATTGCTCCAAGGGTCAGTGCAGCCAGTGTTCAGGGTCCCAAAACAAAGAAAGACAGAACATAAAGTTAGTTACAATGACATGCTGTTATGTTTATTTATTTTTCACACTGTATACAGATAGCCTGCACATAGTGTATGATACACTAACCCTGGATTTGTGAAACATTGATTTGTGAGACGCCCTCCGACCCCAAACCGATCTAACAGTAATTTCTTATGTTTCTTATGCATTTCTCTTCTTTTTAGCCGTTTTATTATTAGCCGCTAGCAGTTAGCTTAATGCTAACTTAAAAGAAGGCTCATCCGAACCGAACCAATTTCGTAAGAAGGCTAATCCGAACCAAGCCAATCTCGTTAATGTTTCGTTTGTTTGTTTGTTAAACTTTCGATTTATTATTTTTATTTCTCTCCTCAAACTCTCTAACGTTACAACCATTTCCTGAAACTCCCAGCCACAACCATGGCTACAACCAATCAGGATTTGTGACTGCCATAAAGCCAATCATAATGCATGACGTCATCAGTAAGCGCGGGACCCTGGATAAATCTGGCAGCCCGGACACATTCGGTACTTACAACAGCACTGATAATGAGTACTTTTACTTATGTTTTATTTAAGTCATGTTTTGATGCTAATACTTGTGTACCTTTGCTGAAGTAAACTTTGAATGCAGGACTTCTACTTGTCAATGGTGCTGCTACTTTTAAAGCAAAACGGTTTGAGTACCTCTTCCCCTGCTGCCATTTTTAAGCTTAAAACCTTTTTACATAATGAGACTTTTTCATTGGCTTAACCGGTTCAATATGTCAGTACTTGAGCCTGCTGTATTAGATAACATTATATGTATTGCAAGGTGTTACTGATCTCAAACAGGGGGTCCAAAGGTCAAATCATGACCCCTCCAGTGTAAGAAATATTTAACACCTTTCCTTGAAACTTTACCACCACTCAAGTGTTTACCAAATGAGACCTGACAAATTTAAACAGATATCTGGCAGATTTCTGAGTTGTATTTTCATTTAAATGTCAAGCCCTTTCCTTTATTAAATTCCTTATTTTCCATTTTCTCTCTCTGGAAAAAAAAACCCCTTCTGGTATTCCTGGCAGGGACGTCCCTCTAACAGCTGAAATGTAAACACGTCTGCCTGCTGCCATTGATTGACATGCTGTGTTGATTTCTCATTACTAACACACTCACACACACACTTGAAGCCATTTAAAAATAATAGCATATTCCAGCCTTAAAGTGCACACTGGCTGCACACCTGCAGATGTGTGTATGTCAAAGGCCTCGGGCTATTTCACTGATCTTCATTAGCTGGTGGCTCATGCTGTCTTTCTGGTGTACTCCTCCAACCACAGAGGAAGAAAACAACAGAATGATATTTATCTGCATCCCCGTAATCCTCACCACAGCCTGGGTGAAATCTGATCGCTAAACAAGCACTCAAGATTAAATGACCTATTTGTGTTTATGATTTACTTTATATTAACGTTGCAGATCAATGGTTTCCCAATTTCTTCCACCTGCAATTCTGCTGTTTCTCGCCCTGAGCTGCTCATTTTACCCGCCAGCAGAACGACGTCTCACACAAAATAAATTCCCACACTCCTATAAATGAGAAATATTATTGTGGACGTAATTATAAACAAGATGTTAGAAGCATTAACTGGGAATGAAACCAAACGCTTTGGATTTAGAAGAGTTATTTAATAGAGGCCATTCAATGGGACACTGTGCCAGTAGCTACAGTTTCAAATATTCACCGACAACATAATATGTGCATTGACTTTTCGGGCCTGACTGGTGCCTTGCTTTCTCTTTAGCTGCCTCAAAAGACCCCCGTAGCCTCGGAGCACTTTATGCTAAGTTAATTTACCCAAATATATCCGCGGCATCATGGCAGCCCCGGCCCCCGCTATTCAACATCAACAACTTTGTTAATGGAAACTTGCTGATCCATAAACGTTTGTGCCGCCGCAGATGTTAGCTGGGGGGCAGTTCACATATGAATGTTAAAAACCCACAGATCGATGAGGGGCATTTGCAAAGGAGGCATAAGGTGTGTTTAATTATAATTGCGTCAAAGGGGGGGGTTTGTGTGTGTGTTTGTTGGGGGGAGGTGTCGCTGTTAAGGCTCATAGGCAGGGGCCTCTGTATTTAAATAGGGTCACATCTCGGCCTCACCTTGCAAGTGTTACGCTATATTAAATGCCACTCATGTTAAGTGCGTTGAAACCCTCCTCCGATGTAGCCAAGACATAATATAAAGGTTAAATTGAAAAATGTCCCTTCAACGGCGCAGGAACACGCCATGATTGATCTCCCTTGTACAGGCAAGGAAATGTTAGCCAGACCTCTGTTTCGTTAGGCCTCCTTTTAAGTGTGTGAATACAGTGTGTTATAATAAGGAGTGGCTGGATTAGAATTTAAGTGTCAGTCAATCAGGATTTCAAAAGGTCAATGAAAAAATTAGCAAAATGTTTGCAGAGGGTGGGTTTGAAATGAGCTCAGTCAGAATAGGCCTTTGTTTACAGGAGACGTGTCATAGCCGGAAAAGCACTGGTGTTACTGATAACATTAAGATGGCTGTGTCCTTTCAAATGTCCCAGTAAGCCATGATGGTGCCAACTCCTCCCAGATCCACATTACATACTAATTCTACGCAATTGAATTTTCATATTGGAAAAGTGACGAAATAGCATATACTGAAACTAGACAGTATGCATACTAAATAAGATAATGGACACTATTCTTCCACCAAAGAAATGAAGGAGTTACTTAGCTGGAAAAAATAAAAGTACTTGTGAGTGGTGGTAGAATGAAAGTAATATATCTTAAAAAAAGACATTGCCCTTGTTGCATTTAAGCACAGTAACCCAAAAAAAATGTTGGCATTGCACATGTCTGCACATTAGGGATATATTACATTTTAACAATTCATACGTATCATCAACATTTCTACGAAGTTCAAATTACATGAATATGAGGAGGAGGGATGATGGATGGCGTGACACCTGTGTGACACGGTTGCCAACAGTTTAACCACTCTTCAAGACAAACAACAAAAGTGGGTCTTTTTCTTACTAGAGTTCTGGATGTTTCTAGTCATATTTGTGGCGACAAAACCGTGTCGTTTAAGCTAAAACATGATCTCTTTTTAACCCTAACCAAGTAGGTTTGCACTTAAACCTAACAACATTCAAAACATAGAACTGAAACATTAAGAAATGTTAAGTGTCAACATATCCGCTACATATAAAACATATATATCTGTGGTTTGCAGAAATGCACAATGCCAACATTTATACTGCCGCTTGGGTCATGCATTTCCATGCTACATGCTAATGTATACATTATTTACCATATGATAATTTTTAACAGTACACCGATTTTTTTGCAGTATGCCAAAAATCAGGAAGAAAACAGGAAATGATGCAATACATGCACTGTGCAAATGCGGTCACACTGCGACTTTAAAATGACAATAAATGCAGAGGCAGCAAAAATGTTTCACCAAAATTCAGTAGAAATGTGTTTGTATGGATACTGCATTTTTTAATTAACCTAAATATTGTCACTTTTCCAACATACAATCTGTATAGTATTAGTTTTTAGGATGGGTTTGGGACACAGTTACTTTGACAATGCAAAGTCACAGTCTGACTGACCTATTGTACTGTTTTCTTCTAGTGTGAAAGAGTAAAACATGGATTTTTCTTTAGTATCTTAACTGCTGTAACCCTTCACATTACTGTATAGAAATTGTGTATTTTATGGATTTGGGACATGCTGGCAGTGAGCCATTCAGCCATTACTAATTTTGTTACCTAACCTGTGCTTTTCCTACTGTGACATGTCAAAATGTCTTCTGTAGCGAAATAAAGAATGTAAAAAAGCTGCTTGCCAACTTTGTCGGAAAATGTTCGCAGGAAAAGAAAAGATTAGAGGCATGCAGGCATCAGGTGAAAACCTCATGATCATATTTTGGTGAGTGTTGGATGTTGTATGCTGTATGTGATATGAAAAGATTTTTTTTTTTAATTGAAATTTTGAAACTCTTTTCACTGAAAAAAAAATTCAGTCTAAAACAAGGCAGATCATTTGCTTTTTCCTGTTCACATTGCTTTCCAGAAAAACTGAAATATCACCATCCTTAATTACATCCTTAATATTAATTATATACTTGTGTTTTTCAAAAGGAAAAGTTTCAAAATGCTAATTATTTAATTTTTTCATCACTTATAGGACCTTTTTCATCACACTGGCAAAAAATATGCCTTCATATAATTTGTTTCCTTATTCCTACTTTACTGGGATGTTTGAGCTTCATGGTGCAGAATAGAGTTCATGTGCTGGAGGAAAAAAGTTTCTCTGTGCTCACCTTAAATCTGAGTTTGAGACATGTGAGAATGACAAGTATTTTTTTTATACGTATTAAAACATGCCTGGAGGGGATTTTAAAAAATCCAAAGTTGTGTAATGCTGTCAGAAACATTTATCTTGACAGTCACTGAAATAAGGTAGGAGAAATAATATGCCCAAATCTACCATTAATCGGTAATAAATATGATAAATTACATAAATCATGTTTCAGTTTAACAAGCAATGTCTGGATAAATGAATGACGGAAAAACCATAAGATTCTCTCTAAACAAAGAAATTCGTCTAACTTGTGATCTGAGGATAATCCAATAACTCCATGAATTGGAGTTGATTTACCCACTCTGATTTTAGACACATCATATCTGTGCTGTGTATATACATATAGAGAATACTGTAAACTAGTCTATGTCAGCACTGGACACTGCACATACAGTATAATGACAATATGAATACTGCTCTGTGTTGTTCACATTTTATCTTTTGGATGAACTCTCAGTCGGCATGATGCTTTCTTTACGTGACTTCTTTCCATATAGAATCCATCATCACACAATACTGTACCTTTATACTTTGCTACATTACATTTTCAAGTCAGTAAATTCCTCTTGTGGAGTTTCCTTTCAGTCTTTGGATGTCCTTACAGTACTTCCCAGTTTTGGACACAGATGATAATGAAAGAAGAAGTTCAGTCTCTGTTTCCTCTCTTACAGAGTCCAGAAGTGCAGGTTCAGATGTTGGGGCTCCAGAACATGTATGGACGGCCCTGTGGGCCCTATGTGAACAGGGCCGTGGGGGGATCTGAACCCAGGCAAGGGTGGATCCGGGGTGGATAGGATGTAGTCAATGCTAAACTTGATCTCTGACTCTGGTTTCCCCTGCTGGGTAGGGTTTGGGATGAGGTGGTTCTGCTGGGGACCCGGCCTCGGCCTCTCAGGGTTCAAAGGGCAGAGGGTGGAGTCGGGTTCAGGGCGCCGGGCTGCGGGTACGTGCTGATTGCTGTGGCTCTCCAGAGGGTGGAAAGGGGGTTCTCCTGAATCACGGAAGCCGATTTTCATGTTCCTCCTGCGCCGGCGACGCCGAAAGTTGCCATTTTCAAAGAGGTCGAGCATGGATTCACAGCCAGTGGCAAAAGTCCAGTAGTTACCCTTTCCCTTCTCGTTGCCCTCTGTCCGAGGAACCTACAGGAATTATAAAAAATTAAAATATCACACAACCAGTAAAAATAGGTGAAAAACACTTCTATAGAAAAGATGAAAAGAAACAAGAAGAAAGAGAAATATTCCCTTTAACAGATACTAAAACACTTTAATATCTCCTTAAATTTACATCACTTCCCAGCATCCCCTGTGTGTTGTGGTGTACCTTGATGAAGCAGCTGTTGAGAGACAGGTTGTGTCTGATGGAGTTCTGCCAGGCTCTCTGGTTGGAGCGGTAGTAAGGAAATCTCTTCATGATGAACTCGTAGATGCCCGACAGAGTGACCCGCTGCTCGGGGCTCTGCTGGATGGCCATGGCTATCAGAGCTATGTAACTGACACACAGACACACACTTTCATCAGGCTACACAGTGTGCCAAGTGTAATAAAAAGCTATCACATTATAAAGGCTCTCTTTGTGTCGACTTTTATGAGTAAAAATAGTAATAAATACAAAATCTGCCAGTTATTTTCCTTTTATCTGACCATGCATGGATCATTAATAAAGATTTTTTTTGTTTGTTTGTTTGCCAAAAACGGCAAAAACAGACAAAGAAACATACAGTTTTATGTTACATGAGAAGTAATATGTGATTTTATTTATTTTTGTTTTTTATCAGATTAACATTATGTTTGTGAGAAGAATTCAGAAAATTCAAAAATGTCAACAAGCTGATGAAGACATGTTAGGTGTATATTTTGAGTTGGTAAAGAAGACCAAATTACTGAAGATGGAAAGGAAAGTTTTAAATATTATTTTTCAAGTCACTTAGAGTTTAATAAACAAATGCATGTAGTCACAAGAAGCTAGGCTGTGGTATAAAAACAGCTTTAATTTTATATTACTTGAAACGATTTTTTAAAAATAAAAAGAGACTGGAAATGAATACAAAATGATGTGCAGTGCACCGCTGAAGGGAAATGATGCACTCTGCACTGCTCTTAAATCAAGGCTAATTCTTTATGATGATAAATGTTTTAAAAGCTATCATACAAAATGTGTATATTATGTACACGGAAAAAAACATGATCATGGCTGCAGTAAAAAAAAACACTTAATTAAAAAAATAAAAAAATAAAGTTTTATTTTGTCTGAACAAAACTCGATGAAAAAGAACTCAAATCAAAGTGAAAACAAAGTTAATTTTACGCTTTTAAATGGAATAAAAAATGAGGAAAAATACACTTTAAAGGCCAAATATTAGGCAAAAGAACTTTATTTATCATTTTTTTAGATCAAAAACCTGAATCCAACTGGATATAACATACTTGTAAATAAAGTTACAGCTCTTGAATTAAAAAGAAAAATATATATATATGTATAGAAAAAGGTCCCTACCTGTATGCGGGTCTGCACATTTTCTTCTCCTCGTCCGTGCTGGATGAAGGGTATCCGTCTCCATCGTAGTTGAAACAGTTGAAAGGGTAGTTGGAGTTGTCAAACATATTTACACTTTGTCGGATCGGATGTGATGTGATCCAAACTGTTTGGCTCCTCTGACTCTCCTGGCCAAAGCCCAGCAGCAACACCCTGTCCTGCTGCTCTGCTCTGTCACCATGCTCTGCTCAGCCAGCTGACACTCACTCTGAGCTCTGCTGATGACTGCTGCCTGCAGCCCCCCTTCTCCCCTCCTCGTCCCAGCTGCTCTCCAGGAGCGGCTGCAGGTCTCGAGACGTGGGACCACCTCTCTGTGGGATTTCAACTCCTTGTTATGGACTTGTTTCAGGTTTCAGATTCACAAAAGTTGATTTTAGGATATCCAAAGGCCAAGTGGCAAAAATAAAGATGGCCTACTGTATCTCATCTTTTAATTTAAGAGTAAAGGATGTTTTGCCATTGCAGTGAAGAGTAAAGATGTAAAGTCCGGCAAACAGGAAATACTGAAATGCAGATGCCAGTGGGCTTCAGTGCATCAAATTGCCCTTGGCTATGCACTGTAGCTGTTAGGCTGCAGGATATTTGTTGAACTACAAATGGCAGCTGTTTTTGGTCAGTTACCTGATTTAGATCAGACAAACTCTTTACAAGATGCCCCACAGAGTTAGCATCGCATTTCTATGAGATTGTTGCAGTCGCAATGGTCAGTCGATGCAGCTGAACCAGAGATATCTTCTTTTTTATTCCACACATTCCTATTTCTTGTCAAAAACTTGGTGCCTACATTACCCATAATGTAACTTGGCCAAAGACAGTTCTGTTGGAAATCTATGTGTGTTATGCTAGTCGCGGCTAATGTAGCCTCAAGCCACTAGCATCAAACAAACTTTTTAAACATGTAGTCTTCAGATGCCACTCACACTGCCTCAAGTGACATCACTTGAGGCAGTTTATCAGATCACAGGCAGCTCCTTCTGAAGCCGCAAAAAGCTTTAATCAACATGTTTCACAAACACAACTGCGCTTCTCGACACTTGTAAACACACTTTGACATGCGATATCAGTGGAGTGCCCTTTAACTCGGGCTCGACTGAGCTGGTCCAGATCAGTCAGTCTCTCGGTAGCAGCCTGGTCATCAGTTTGCTGGACAAACGTCTCCTCTCCCCCACCTCCGGCAGGATTCTGGGTGGTCTGCATGGGCTCGTAGGCTGCCCTCATGTTTTATTTTGGTTCTTTTATAGCCTAATCTCTGTAACCATACTTAAAACAGCGATCCCCAAACCAACAAACAAGATCCCTTGCATCTTTGTTTTCTTTCTTTCTCTGTTAACTCTTTGGGGTGTGTGTGTGTGTGTGTGTGTGTGTGTGTCCTCTCTGGCAGACGTTTAGTCAACAACGGGAAGTTTTGTAGATGCTATCTATAATGCTCTTTAATGGCCATAAATTGTTTCCGTGTCTATAAAACAGGGGGATGTGTATTTTGAAGGGATCTAAATGGGGCAATTGGAGGTCTCCCGTGAGGCGACAGAGGCCGGGAAAACAGCCTGAGGACTGCAGGGCCTCTGTGTGTGGCCCCGCTGGTGTAGGAGGAGCCTATAGGCGCTATATTGGTCGGTCCAGGCACATTAAGCCAATTCTCTCTTTATTTCTGACAGACTGATGAAGCAGCTAAAAGGTCAATGGTGTACTCAATTTTAGATGCAGGCCCAGATTTTTAAAATGGATTCTTGGTGGATGTTGAAGATGAATGACTATGAATCTAGATTGATCAGTGGTCCGAATATTTATTTCTTCTCTTCAAACACAAAATCATGTCCTGTACAGGTAAAATAAATTCCACGAGGCTGAGTGTAACCATGAACGACCATAGCTATTACTGAGGATTTCTGACATGCTATACTGAATTTTTCATGACTTTTTAAGTCATGGTTTACTATGACTTCCTTATGACTTTTTATGACATGCTATACTGTGACTTTTTTTTTTTTTAATGATTTTTGTCGACATACTATACTATGACGCTGTTTCAGGATTTTTGTCGACATACTATACTATGACTTTTTGTCATGGTTTTTGACAACATAGTATACTATGATGTTTTTTCATGGTTGTTGACGACATACTATACTATGATGTTTTTTTTATGATTTTGGACAACATACTATACAGTGACATTTTTTCATGATTTTTGACGACATACTGTACTATGATGTTTTTTCATGATTTTGGACGACATACTATACTATGAGATTTTTTTCATAGTTTTTGACGACATACTATACTATGACTTTTTTTATGATTTTGGATGACATACTATACTATTACATTTTTTCACGATTTTGGACAATATACTATACTATGACTTTTTTTGTGATTTTGGACAACATACTATGCTATGACATTTTTTCGTGATTTTGGACTACATACTATACTATGACTTTTTTTCATGGTTGTTGATGACATACTGTACTATGACATTTTTTCAGGATTTTGGACTACATACTATACTAAGACTTTTTTTCATGATTTTTGTTAACATAATATACTATGACGTTTTTCCATGATTTTTGTTGACATACTATATTATGACTTTTTTTCATGGTTGTTGACAACATACTGTACTATGATGTTTTTTCATGATTTTGGACGACATACTATACAATGACGTTTTTTCATGATTTTGGAAAACATACTATACTATGACTTTTTTCATAGTTTTTGACGACATACTATTTCTATGACGTTTTTCCATGATTTTGGACGACATACTATACTATGACTTTTTTCACGATTTTGGATGACATACTATACTATGACACTTTTTTTCGGATTTTTGACGACACAGTATACTATGACATTTTTTCATCATTTTGGACGACATACTATAGTATGACTTTTTTTATGATTTTGAATGACATACTATACTATTACATTTTTTCACGATTTTGGACAATATACTATACTATGACTTTTTTCGTGATTTTGGACGACATACTATACTATGATGTTTTTTCATGGTTTTTGACGACATACTATACTATTACATTTTTTCATGATTTTGGATGACATACTATACTATGACTTTTTTTCATAGTTTTTGACGACATACTATACTATGACGTTTTTACATGATTTTGGACTACATACTATACTATGACTTTTTTTATGGTTGTTGACGACATACTATACTATGATGTTTTTTTTCATGATTTTGGACGACATACTATACAGTGACATTTTTTCATGATTTTTGATGACATACTGTACTATGATGTTTTTTCATGATTTTGGACGACATACTATACAATGATGTTTTTTCATGATTTTGGAAAACATACTATACTATGACTTTTTTCATGGTTTTTGATGACATACTATTTCTATGACGTTTTTCCATGAGTTTGGACGACATACTATACAATGACGTTTTTTCATGATTTTTGTCGACATACTATTTCTATGACGTTTTTACATGATTTTGGACAACATACTATACTATGACTTTTTTTCACGATTTTGGATGACATACTATACTATGACATTTTTTTTATGATTTTGGATGTCATACTATACTATGACACTTTTTTTCGGATTTTTGACGACACACTATACTATGACATTTTTTCATCATTTTGGACGACATTCTATGTTTTATGTTTCCCGCTCAACCAAGCGGGAAACATAGAACCCTTTTTGTGTAAGCTGGGAACATACAGTAGAAGCTGTTTTGCAGGGTTAAGTGGGGAACATAGAACCCGGGAAACATAGACCCCTGGAAACATAGGGATTACCCCGTTATTTAGGTCATCTTTTATATCAAACTATACTATGACTTTTCTAAATTATTCAGTTTTCATTGTCTTCTATAGTATTACCTTTTTATTGCATATTTATGACTTTTTCATGACATCCAGCTGGCTTTTATTTCGTTCAGTTTTCTTGCAATCTTTGTAGCAGTCCATCAAATAATACATTTTCTGAAAATAAATCAGTGTTCCTTCATCACATCTTTGCTCAACCAGTACTGGTTTGTAGTCTTCAGTAATACCAGTGGTGGAATATAACTAAGTACACACATTTCACATTACTTTGCACTCCACCACAACTTAGAAAGAAGTACAGATGATGCATTTGACAGATGTAGCTTACTTTACCAAGAGATTTACATACCAAAGACATGAGTCTATAAAATATAATGTATTTGTTTAAATCAAACTAATCAACAGAATATAAGATAATCCAAATTAGCACCATGGTGACCAAATACAATAGCAAAATGCTGCCTACCCACTGATGGAGAAACAGAAATGTAACACCAGCCTTTTTTGTGTGTGTGTGGTTTTTATTTATTTATTTATGGGATTAGGGTTATTTTATTATGACATTGAGTAATTCTACTTTTGATCATTTCAAGCACAGTTTGCTGATACTCATGTACTTTTACTCAAGTAAATCTACATTGCAGGACTTTACCTTTTTGAGAATTTTTATTACTTAAGTTAGGATAAATACTTCCACCATTGCTGAGTACTACATTATTGGGTTCATACACTTAACCACAAAGCAACATAACTGATTTCACTGAACAAGTAGCAACTGAAGTGCTAAAATGACCTGCGCTCATTCAGCTGTTAGGAGTTGGATGAGTCTGTTTACTCCAGACAAGAAAAACAGATTGATTCATACACAGCTGTAAACAGACCAGCAGAGAGAGGCAGTGTCGAGGAGAAGAGGAGGTCACCGTATCAGGTTGGTTTGAACTTAGATCAGATAAGCACCTCATGGTTCACTCCCATGACGAGGCTTCCTCTGGCGTCCTGTCTGCGGCTGGCCGTGGTGATTACAGCCCTTAGTTCTCCTCTGGTCACTCTCTGTCCCTCTGATGGTTGTCTCAGACTTCCTCCATTCATAGCTCTGTCTGCCTGTGTGTGGGTGGGTGTGTGTGTGTACACATGCATTTATGTAAACCAACCAAGTAGCTTTTCCGGGGGCTGTTCTGTGAGGAAAGGTTATCAAAACACAACAGTACACTGGGAACTGTAAACATGCTTGTGCACAGAGCTGGGGCTGAGGGCCATTTTCTTTTGCACTGTACTGTGCAGCCATCCTCAGTGCCACCATTCATTG